AGAGAGAGCACTGGCTCTCAGATAGCCTGCCCAGAGGTGAGCTGTCAGGGAGCCCTGTGGGGGACTCGAGCCCTGTCCTGCCAATCAGCTGATTAGCAGGATGTGGGGAGCCATTCTTCTGCAGCAGGAACTGTCCTGTCCCAGAGCCCTGGGAGAGTTGCAGACCTAGGAGATTGCACCCCACCTCACCCCCTCGCCCTGTGCTGCCAATCAATTGATTATTGGGACAGACATGCGCCTGTGGAGGGAACTCTCCAATAGCTCTGGGAGGGTTCCTGCCATGGGAAAAGAGCACTCCTCTGCTTCAACCAGGAGGAGTGAGCAGTGGGAGGCAGGTATATCTGGGGCTGGAGCCTTTCTGGAGCTCCAGGAAGGCTACAGACCCAGGACAATGTCCTCTACCCCAGTTTCCAACCCTACAGGGTTTAAATGACACCCCCACTGCCCAGCTGAGTGGTGTGGGTGACAACTTCAAAGCCATAGGATAGGGAATCATAGCTCAGGAATCTATCCTTGCCTTGGTTTCTGGCCCCTGCCAGGCTTTAAATGCCATGTGTGCCACACCACTGGGTTGCACATATGGTGATTTAGAAGCCTGGGAGCCAGGACTTGGGGTGAGGGAGGCTTCCTTGTACCTCTGGTTTTACATAATACCATGTGTAGCCCATCTGGTGACTTAAAACTGGGAGGACTGCCTATTGTGTGTATGCTTCAGCTCCCAGGCTAATTTTCTACTGGTAAGTAGATTCATAGTTTCATAGTTGGTAGGGTAGGAGGGGACCTGAGCAGATCATCAAGTCTCACCCCCTGCCGTGGGCAGGAAAGAATGCTGGGGTCAAATGACCCCGATCCAGGTGATTATCTAGCCTCCTTTTGAAGACCCCCAGGGTAGGAGCGAGCACCACTTCTCTTGGAAGTTGGTTCCAGATTCTAGCCGCCCTGACTGTGAAGTAGTGCCTCCTGATGTCTAGTCTGAACCTACTCTCAATCAACTTGTGGCCATTATTCCTAGTTACTCCTGGTAGTGCCCGGGGGAACAGGGGCTCTCCCATTCCCCGCAGGTCCCCCCCGGTAAGTTTATAGACGGCCACCAGATCCCCCCTCAGTCTTCTCTTGTGGAGGCTGAACAGGTTCAGGTCCCGTAGCCTCTCCTCGTAGGGCCTGCCCTGCTGCCCCCGCATCATGTGAGTGGCCCTCCTCTGGACCCTCTCAATGCTGTCCACATCCCTTTTGAAGCACGGCGCCCAGAACTGGACACAGTACTCCAACTGTTGCCTGACCAATGCCGCATAGAAGGGGAGGATCACCTCCTTGGACCTGTTTGTGATGCGTCTGTGGATGCATGACAGGGTACGGTTAACCTTACTGACCACGTCCTCACATTGGCAGCCCATATTCATCTTGGAATCAATAATAACTCCAAGATCCCTTTCTGCCTCTGTGCTGATGAGAAGAGAGTTCCCCAGCCTATAGGTATGCTGCTGGTTCTTTCTCCCTAGGTGCAGCACCCTGTACTTGTCAGTATTGAATCCCATCCTATTCTCATCCGCCCACCCCTGTAACCTGTTCAGATCTAGCTGTAGCCTGTCCCTCTCTTCTAGCGTGCCCACTTCTCCCCACATCTTCGTGTCATCTGCGAATTTGAACAAGGTGCTTTTCACCCCCTTGTTCAAGTCACTGATAAAAATGTCGAACAGTATGGGCCTGAGGACCAAGCCCTGGGGGACCCCACTGCCCACATCCTTCCAGGTTGAAAATGACCTGTCCACCACCACTCTCTGGGTGTGGCCCTCTAGCCAATTTGCGACCCATCTGACTGTGTAGGCATCAACGCCACAGCCGCCTAATTTTTTAATGAGAAGGGGGTGAGAGACAGTGTTGAAGGCCTTCCTAAAGTCCAGAAAGACTACATCCACCGCGACACCTGTGTCCAAGGATTTTGTGATCTGGTCATAAAAGGCAACTAGGTTGGTCTGACAGGCCCTGCCTCTAATGAACCCATGCTGGTTAGCCCTGAGCATAATCTCTCCTGCTGGTCCCTTGCAGATGTGCTCCTGGATAATTTTCTCAGAAAGCTTCCCCAGGACTGAGGTAAGACTAACGGGCCTATAGTTACCTGGGTCCTCCTTCCTCCCTTTTTTGAAAATGGGGACCACATTGGCCCTTTTCCAGTCCTCTGGTACCTGGCCAGAGCACCACAAGTGCTCGTAACGCTGTGCCAGGGGTCCCGCAATGCCCCCTGCCAATTCCCTCAGCACCCTGGGGCCAATTCCCTCAGCATCATTTGGACCTGCTGATTTAAATATGTCCAGCCCCACCAGAAGTTCCCTAACTAGGTCCTCCCTGACCCTAGGCCTGGCAATGCCTCTCCTAAGTCCGTCCAGAATCCCGGTTGGGGGGATGTCCAGGTCCCTGTTGATGCAGGCCTCATGGCACCATCCACGTCTACTTACTGGGAGAATAGAGGAGAATACCACCTGTGCCCCCATCTCCTTGAGCTTGGCCCCCAGGGCCTTGTAGTCCCTCATGATCCAGTCTGGACTGTTCCCAGCCGCATTATTTGTTCCCACGTGGATTAGGACCATGGGGTACTGGTCCGAGGGCCGAAGTACTTTTCTGAAATTCTTACCAATAGGAATGAATACAGGTCCATGGTCTTTGTCTCATTCTTCTCTCTATTTCCTGCATATCTCTCTCATCTCTTGTGTCCTTATCTTTGTTCTTCTCCTCTCTGTTTTTCTGAATTTCTTTGCTCCATTTCACTACCACTACTGACAGCTGGCACTGCCAATATAATCCCAACATGATGCATTTTTCTCAAGCTCTTCCAATCTTTTGCAAATCTCATGAGAACCATTGTTGACACAGTATGTTCGTCAGTGAGAGTGTGCATGAAGAAGGAAAAATGTTGACAGCTATAAAATACCTAGTGCTGATGCAGTGGGAAATAGAGCCCTGGATATGCGGGGGGGGGTGTGTTTGTTTCCTAGAGTTACCAATTAATTGTAGCTTCCTATGAACAAATCTATATCATAGAATAGCTGAAGGTTTGCTGGTTTCCAGAAAGGGCTGAGGAAAATGTCTAGACTGTGTTGTACCTGAATTTTTAAGAGCCTTAACCTAAATCCTCAGTGACTTAAGTTCTTTGGGCACTTTGTGCAAAGTGTTGCAGCC